TGAAAGTTTGAAGCAGCTGTAAAAGCTTGAAGTTTGAATGTTTAGATTAGATAGATGTTGATAGCATGTTGCTAACATGATTTAACACATTGCCAACATGATTTACCGTGTTGCTAGCATGATTTAGCATGTTGTTAGCGTGTTTCAACACAATTATTATTTGGCAATTATTAGCATGTTGGTCACATGATTAGCATGTTGCTAGCATGTTTTTAACATTATTAGCATGTTGTTAACATGATTAGCATGCTGTTGGCATGTTTCTAACATGATTAACATGACACTAACATGTTTTAGTATGTTGCTAGTATTATTTAGCATGCTGCCCTGTTGAAAAAACAGCATATGCTGGTTAGGTATGTTTTGAAGCTGGGATGCTGGTTTTAGCTGGTCCTTTGCTGGTTTAAGCTGGTCCTTTGCTGGTTTAAGCTGGTCCTTTGCTGGTTTATGCTGGTCCTTTGCTGGTTTAAGCTGGTCCTTTGCTGGTTTATGCTGGTCTTTTTGCTGGTTTTAGCTGGTCCTTTTGCTGGTTATGCTGGTCCTTTTGCTGGTTTATGCTGGTCATGTGCTGGCAAAGGACCAGCATAAACCAGCAAAAGACCAGCTTAAACTAGCATCCCAGCGTCAAAACATACCTAACCAGCATATGCTGTTTTTTTCAACAGGGTGCTAGCAGGATTTAACATGTTGCTAGCATTTCGTTAACATGATTTAACATGTTACTAGCATGTTTTAGCATACTGCTAGCATGAGTAGCACATTGCTAGCATGTTTTAGCATGAGTAACACGTTGTTAGCATGTTTCTAGCCTGACTCAACCACGGAGCAGTGCATGCTGGGGGGGGTCGCATCCAAAGATGGTTTGGGTTTCTTCTGTCCAAGAGCAACACGAGGCACAGTGGCACGATTCAGGCTTCATGTAGCATCGCTCATAATGAAGCGCCTGTTTCAATCTCCCTTGTGTTTTAATGGTCGGGTTTAATTGCAGATTCAAGAAAAACACATCTGATTTATGCTGTGTGAGTCCAATTTAAATAGAAAACACACAAAGGATTATTTTGACATGAGCTCGCACATTTTACGCCTCGTTGGCCGCATTAGTGACAAATTACCAGAGGAAGTTATGTGGGAAGTGTGGTCAGATATGGTATATCAGAGAATGTCACATTAACAATAATCTATATTGGTAAATGATGGAAAAGATCAGACATTGAGAAGATGTAAACAATTGTTGCAAACATAATTTGTGAGTGTTTCTTAGAAATCACACACTAGACTAAACAAAACCTTGTTTTGGTAGGAAAACCTGCGTGTAAACTTGTAATTTAAAATTGAAGGAAACTGATAAAGTTAGGACAATACTCCACGGACTTTAGTAGAAGAAATGAAATGTTAATATGATAAAGCAAACAAAGCTTGAGTGCACATGAATCTGATTACAGCTCTGAAATAAACTGTCATGTTATTCCTGTTCCACACAACATTCCTTACACTCAGAGCCAACATGAGCCTTTACAGTAGCGTGCTCTACATACCTTTCTGTATTAAATACACATTGTTCATATTCATTATGTTCAAACATTTTATTGTATTAGTATATTCTATGGGAGCCCAGTTGAAGATTTTGCTTTTGAGGTTCCCAGGATTTAAAAATCCGGAGCTCTGAAGAAAATGTGAGTGACGCTTGTCTGTGTAAAAACCTGCAGTGACAATGATAGAGTGTTATGGATGGTTGCCAAGGTGTTGCTATGCAGTTGTTAAAGTGTTCTAAAGTGTTGAGTGTTTTAGAATGTTGCTATGTGGTTGTTAGGGTGTTGTGGGTGGTAGCCAAGGCGACGATATGAAGTTGCTAAGGTGTTCTGAGTGTTTTAACATGTTGCTATGTCGTTCTTAGGGTGTTGTGGATGGTTGCCAATGTGTTGTTAGGCAGTTGGTGTTGTGAGTGTTTTACCATGTTGCTATGTAGTTGTTAGGGTGTTCTGGATGGTTGCCAAGGCATTGCTATGCAGGTGCTAAATTGTTCTGAGTGTTTCATTGTGTTGCTACTTAGTTGTTAGGGTGTTGTTAATGGTTGCCAAGGCGATGCTCAAGGTGATGTGTTGCTATGCAGTTTCTAAGGTGTTGTGGAAGGTTGCAAGCATTCTGCTATATATTTGCTAAGTTGTTGTAGATGGTTGATAGGGTGCTGCTATGCAGTTGCTAAGGTGTTCTGAGTGATTTTCGTATGTTCTTATGCGGTTGCGACATTTGCATTGTTATGGTAATGCCGTACACACATTCATGTCATTTGATTGCATTCGTCACAGCAGCTGCATAAGGCATTATTATGTAACTTGGCTCTGGGCGCTTCATCACAGCACATATGGTTTGTGCTAGACTTCCAGACACTGCTTTTCCTCTACAGTCAGGTAAATTACAGCTGTCTGTCACTAACATCCCACAGATCACGACTAACATGCGCGTTTTAACCGCTTCCAGCTGTTGTGAGCAGACTCAGTGTTCAGATGCTCTTGTCCAACATGTTTCTGATGATCTGGCCTCTGCCAATGGACCAATGAAATACAAATGCTGGCCTAAAAACTATAAATCCCTAATGCAGTAATTGTGAGACAAGCTGTTTGTAAATCTGGCCAAGTATTCAACAGTCTGCTAGGTAACTACACATAAGCTTGTGCACATGTATATATGAGTGTTTCTTCAACTATCAGCTATGCAATCACTTAATATACTAAACGACCTTAAAACACACTAGCATTGAAATTAAATTGCTGTAAATTAAAACACTGCTAACAATGCTGAACAGTTTATATACAGTGGGCAAAGAAAATAATCACATTTTGTTGCTTTGCAAAGCAACAAAATGTGATTATTTTAAAGGGGGCTGATTCATTGTAGATTGGGACAAAATAGTTCACTATTTGTTTATCATAGTTTTTAAAATGCAATGATTGGAATTTTACTTTACTAATATTCATCGCTTGAGACAAAATGTTTGAGTCGTAAGTAAAACAATAAAATCTGTCTAAAAGGCTTTTGAAAAGTAGCACAAACAAATGTCAACAGAACAGTTTTCCAAGTTTAATGTGACTTTTATATAATGAAAAGAAAAAAAGTAAATCTGTTCGTTTTAATAAAAATCAACCCCTGGGAAATGAAAGTGCTGATAGTTGAATAAACACCCGTGTGCGTGAGAGATAGTCGCCAAGCGCTCTTTTCTTTCGCACAGAGTCTGCGCACTCACTGACGCCATCAGCAGTCGCTGCTGTCTGATTAGCATTCGTCAGCGTCGGTCACCTGCTTCCCAGACGCCCCGCTGTTTTAACCGGAGGCACCGTCGTTGACTGCAGGGGCGAGAGTGACCGAAACGGCCCACAGACACCGGACACTTACAAAGAAGACTAATAAACATGATTAGAAAGATGAAACAGAAAAGAGGGACTTGTATAAATGATGCCACCCACAACGTCTTAATGACTAAATCAATCACACAAGCTGGTGCCACAGTCCAGAGCCAACCAGTCAATGGGTCTGCACACAGAACGTAATGCGTCTAGAGGGAAAATTCATTCATTTATTTGAGAAATAATTTTGGCTTTGAACTTTAACATTGCACTCTAAAAAATGCTGGGTTGTTTCAACCCAACTTTGGGTCAAATATGGACTAACCCAACTTTTGGGTTAAAAATTGAATGTAAAAATTAAACCCAACAGCTGGGTTAGTCCATATTTGACCCAAAGTTGGGTTGAAACAACCCAGCATTTTTTAGAGTGCAAGATCAAATTGTTCTATTCTCACTCGCTAGAGAAAAAAAAAGACGTAAAAATGAACGACCCAAATATGAACAAGTGAGTGTTTATAATCATTGCCAGTGAAAAAGTGCACTTAAAAGTACTGAATGTGCATTTAGTGTACTTAAAAAATCTGCACTTACAGTTAATGTAATTTTAATGAAATAAAAGTCCACTTAAAGAGAGACACTTTTATGACTTATCACACTTGAGCAGAGTTTAAGAAATTACTTAATCATGCTTTAAAGAAGTGCACTTACTTTGATGTGTTGACTAACACACTAAAGCACATGATTATGATTTTAACTGTAGCGTGTTATTCAATATTACTTGATATTAAGGTGACATCATTTAATAACTATATTATTAGCAACTTAATTATTACAAATGTATAATTACACACACACATATATATATATATACTGTATATGACACACAAGTTTCAATTATAGAAATTACATTAAAGTATATTTAGTTTACCATTAATGCTTGTCGGTACTTTAACCATAGTGCAAAGACAATAGATATAATTATGAAATGACATATAAAAATGTCCTACTTAAGGGAGTAAAAAAAAAGCACTGAAAGTTCAGCTTATTTCATATAAATTTAAACTATAATACATTTTTATTTAATTGCAAACAATGCAATTTATTGTACAAAAACATTATATGCAATGTGCACTTAAGTATATTATTTTCATAATAAGTACTCTTTTTAAAAGTATGTTAAAGTGCACGTCTTTTTCACAAGAGAAGAGTCAACATTTGGACTCACTTTATTAAACAGCTATAGCAGTTTGTCTCATTGCAGAGCTCTAAACCTAAATTTAGTTGATAAACTGCTTCATTAAAGTACATATGTCAACAAATACTGTGGTTGGAAGACGATCCCAAGAGATTTTTTTATATGTAAAATATTACCCAATATCTTTCATTGTTCTGTCATATAATAGGTGAGGGGGAACAGATGGACCTGCCCTGATCATGTTTTATCGTCCGTATTATTTTCAATACATTATTTTGTTATTCAATATTCAGTTTCTTGCTGTGTTCTGATGGATCATCCGTCTGAGCCGCGTCCAGGCCGCTCAAAGCCTCCAAACAAAACATCACACACTCGTCACAGCGAACAATGCGTTTGGTGTTGCCAACATTCACACGGAGGAGTCCAGCTCTAATCTGAAGAAAGAGAGAACTAAAATCTCTTACCTTTCAAAGCCCAGCTGTCGTATCGATCTCTCCCACGATGAGCCTGCAAACATACAACACAAGGAGGTGTTCAAAACAGCATGAGATGAAGAGACACTGAAGTTTTCAATCTATGATGTGATGTAGTGGCTAAAGCTGAAGGCTGGTCATCAAAAGCTTGCTGGTTTGAACCATGAAAGCAGTGAACTATGAACCGTTGGCTGTTCACTGGATTGTGAAAAGTCTCTAAATGACAGAAAGTGCTCGCTGACGTCAGCCGAAAAGGAAAGTCATTTCAGAGTCATTTATATTATCTTATAGGTTGATTTTGAAACATTATGAAGACATTTTGCTTTCATTAGATTAACATGCACTGATACATTATTCAGCTTGATCTCGTTCGTTTTCATGGGAATTCAAACTATCTGGGTTTATGTTTAAATATACAATATGAACATATTGGGAAAAAACACTCAAATGTAAAGCTATTTACGTATGCACAGCTTTAGAAATGTAGCCTAAAAATCTTTAGGAACCCTAATGTTCTTATATTCATAATTTTTTATATTCTAAAAATTGTTTTATATTGACTTTTTACTGTATATTATTTCTGAGGATTAAGATGTTTTTTTAAAATGAAAAAATAAATGATCACTTTTATTCAGTAAGGACACTAAATTGATCAAAAGGGAGAGTAAAGACATTTATAATGTTGCAAAGATTTCTATTTCAAATAAATGCTGTTTTCTGAACTTTCTATTAATCAGAGAATCCATGTATCACGGTTTCCACAGAAATATTGTGCAGCACGACTGTGTTCAACATTGATAATAATCAGAAATAAATCAATCTTACCAACCCCAAACTTTCGAAAGCTAATGTAGATGTAGATGCAAGATTTAACAAGTAATATATTATATAATATATAATATAAGCAGAAATATATTGTTAGTAACATTTTAAAAGAATTTTATGTGGAAGATACACAATTACAACGTCTGTGGGACGTGAAGGAAAAGTAATGTAACTAGTAGTGTAACTAATTACTGTTGCCAGATAGTAATAAGTAAAGTAATAATATAACTTTTGAAAGGAGTAACTAACGAGTAATAAATTGCATTTTTGGAGTAACTAGCCCAACACTGACTGTAACACACAAGTCGCTTTAGATAAAAGCAAACGACGGTAACACTTTATTTTAAGGTGTCTTTGTTACACGTTACATGTACTTACTATTATAATAACAATTAATTATGCATAATTACATGCAAGTAACCCCAATCCAAACCTAGTTAATATTACTCAGTACTTAAATGTATAATTACACAGTAACAATGACACCTTAAAATAAAGTGTAACCCAAATGACTTCTTATTTACAAAATGCATGTGAAACTGCATTGTTTTGGTGTTATTCTGTGTTTCATTCGACCCAGAGGCACGACGAGACGAGCTGAGCAGAGAAATGACAAATGCTGTACCTGGTGTGCATGAGCTTCAGACACCTCATTCACATCAGTCCAGAGATTCAAACCATATGCTGTGAACCACACACTGCGCACCACAGATATATCACCAGACCCTGCGCGTTTCACAAGCCCTGATGCAGAACACTCACGGAAACATTTGGCAACGCTTTATTGTGTTCTAGCTTTTTGTCGGCAGAAAGTGCAAACAAAACATCATGTGATTCATAGCATACTGAATCTCTGCAGAGTGCTGCCCTTCAGTAAGAGTTTGTACTTCAGTAAGACGTCTGTTTACAGGGACACTTCCAGGTATTCTGTGTCTCTGCCAAGTGAAATACACGCCTTTCAGTCGATCCTCTGAAGCTATTGTTTAAGATTTGACAAATTATTAGTGATGTAATTAGGTTGTTCATTGCTTGACAACTGAATCACATTGGCAAACTGGAAAATGAGCAAACCAGAAACACTATAATAACAAAAAAGGATTAAAAACCACTCGTATATCTTTGACATCACGTGGCATCAGCCAAAATATGTTCAATTTCATATTAAAGGAATAGATCACCCAAATACAAACATTATCTGAAAGTGTGCTCATCCTCAAGTCAGATTATGGTCTCTATGTATTTTAGTTAAAAACGTCTTAATGCTGGATTAGTTTCAGCTTTTGTCTTCTCCAGATGTTAACTGATGGACTGGAGTGCTGTGGATTACTTGTGGATTATTGTGATGTTTTTATCAGCTCTCATTCTGACGGCACCCATTCACTGCAGAGCATCCAAGAAATTTCAGAATTGTTTTTAAGACTTGATTCTACAAGGGTGCATCAAACTGATTGAAATTGACACTTAGAGACATTTAAAGAGTTTGTTTTTCAATTAAATGCTGTCCTTATGTTCCTTTTATTCATCAAAGAAAAATATCCAAGTACAAAGTTTTACTTAGATGAAAACAAAATCATGCATTTACTTAAAAGAAAAAAATATATATAAAAAATAAATGTCAAATTTTATACTTTGTTTCCATTTTATATTTTGTTTCCAAAATAATAAACCATATGCATAAACATTAAAAACACAATGCTTACAGCTTTTCACTTGACATTTACACGACATACACCCTTAAATCACTAAATACCTGAATCTAAATCAGTCGTGTAAGAAAGCATAGATAGGTAATAACAGTATTTAAGCAGGCCATCACTTTCTTTTCTCTGGTGAGTATCCAAATACTTTTGTTAAGCCCAATTACTAACAGACACTAGATTTTTGGGTTTTATTTTTTTTCTTATAGAGACGTTCACGAATATGTCTAGAGTCTAAGATCAAAGCTCAGAGAGTTTCCTTGTTGACATATAATGCTATATTTGGAAAAGCTCTATCAAGTCAAACTGAGTTGTGATATCAAGAGCGATCAGAGAATGCAGATCTCGGCGTGTCGAATCATCACAGCTCATAAACATTGCAACATTTCACATCTAAAGTCCAGCGGTAGTTCTGGTTTCTCCAGACGGGCTCCTGCTGTGTCGGGTGGAGATGTCAAGGCCTTCATGATGACGCTCAGGAAGGAGCGCGGTCTTCTAAACAGAGACTGCTCGATTGAAAGCCTGATGATTTCATTATATTTCTTTGTGGGAAGACTGAACGCACACGGAGATCAGGCTGAACTCCTCGTTCGTTTCAGACCGTCTGTGAAAGTTATCAAGCCAGCAGGGAAATAAAGCAGCGTATCTTCTGTCTGGAGTCCACATGAAGCGACTCGCAGAGAAGGTGTGGAGCTTATTTGGAGAGATTGGGTTTAGATGTTTTCAGATGTGGTCGTCATTTTCATTCTCAGTTATTTTCATAATTTCACCCGAGGAGAAGTCCAACTAAAAACAAGCCCAGTGGTTTCTTATTGTTGAAACTCAGCCATCCGCGTGGTTGTTCACATAGATTTACTGCTAAAAACAGTTTAAAAACCATCTCTTTTTATTTCATTTCTTTTCTTTTCTAAGGTATGGACGCCTATTTCCACCAAAGAGTAAACAAATAAAACAATTCATTGTGAGATAAAGCTTAAAATAAGAACATCTGAGTGAAACAAATTCACATTGTGAGATATAAAGTCACAATGTTGACATATTAGTTTGCTTTGTGACATAAAGTTACAATTCTGAGAAACATCTATGCAATTATAAAAAATGTAGGTTGCCATTAGAAGAAATAAAATGATTATTACTTTACTATTTTATTTTAGGCAGAAACAAGCCTTCATATGAAAGCGTACAAGACTAACTCTCAAAATACACAACAATCATTTATACACTGTAAAAAAAAGTTGCAAATAAAACAAAGATGATTGGATTATGTTTTATAAGAAATTACTATTTAAATTTTTTTTTTTTACTTGCATTTTCTTTGTAATTATTTATGAAATGAGTGAAAATGATTTCAAAGTAAATCCTGCACCAGTTTTTATGTGTATGTATTGCTTTTTTTTTTTTAGCATTAAATTAAAAATCCCTGAATATATGCACTACTGTTCAAAAGTTTGGGGTCGTTAAGATTTTATTAAATGTTTCTGAAAGTCTTCTCTTCTGCTCACCGAGGCTGCATTTATTTGATCAAAACAGTAATATTGTGAAATGTTATTTTCTATGTGTTAAACTGTAATGTATTTCTGTGATGTGCAGCTGTATTTTCAGCATCATTCCTCCAGTCTTCAGTGTCACATGATCTTCAGAAATCAGTATAATATGCTGATCTGCTGCTCAAGAAACATTTCTGATTATTATCAATGTTGAACACAGTCGTGCTGCACAATATTTCTGTGGAAACTGTGATGCATTTTATTTTTCAGGATTCACAGATGAACAGAAAGTTCAGAAGAACAGAATTCATGTGAGACACAAATCTTTTATAACATTATACATGTCTTTACTCTCACTTTTGATCACTTTAATGCGTCCTTGCTGAATAAAAGTATTCATTTCTTTAAAAAAAAAAATCGTACTGACCCCAAACCTTTGAGTGTATTTCTTGCGATGACTCTCACAAATTGAGCATGTTGTCAGTGACCTTGAGGAAACAGAGCATCACATCTAGCCTTTGTTAGAAGGTACGCTTAAACACATGCAGGACAAAGTGGAGTATTTTTAGAGAGCAGCGAGAAACACGTCCTGAGGAAGCCGATCTTTATCTGCTACAAAAATATTAAGACAAACAGAACGGAGCGCTCTCAGCCGTTTGTTCTTATTCGAATCATCACAGCTCATAAACATTGCAACATTTCACATCTAAAGTCCAGCGGTAGTTCTGGTTTCTCCAGACGGGCTCCTGCTGTGTCGGGTGGAGATGTCAAGGCCTTCATGATGACGCTCAGGAAGGAGCGCGGTCTTCTAAACAGAGACTGCTCGATTGAAAGCCTGATGATTTCATTATATTTCTTTGTGGGAAGACTGAACGCACACGGAGATCAGGCTGAACTCCTCGTTCGTTTCAGACCGTCTGTGAAAGTTATCAAGCCAGCAGGGAAATAAAGCAGCGTATCTTCTGTCTGGAGTCCACATGAAGCGACTCGCAGAGAAGGTGTGGAGCTTATTTGGAGAGATTGGG